TGGTGGGGGGGGGGGGGGGGGGGGGGGAGAGAGAGAGAGAGAGAGAGAGAGAGAGCATGAATAACCACCGCACCTGGCCTGTGACAAAAGTTTAGTTAAGGCATTTGCACTCCCAAGCACACCACCTACTAACACAAACAAAAATACAGGTTATACAGGATGACTTCCCATATCTTAAGTCTTGGCTTCTGAAGTCTCATGTGCCCCCCTGAATGCCTACAAGTGCTGCTGTTTTCTGTAATTCTTGTTACACCCAGCCATATATTTAACACCCTGAAACATTTCTGGATACATTCTATAAGGAAAAAACAGACTTCATATAGATGAGGGGAGAGAGAGGATCCTTCTGCTTAGAATTGTCAGTTCTGTTCAGATTTTACAAATACTGTTTTTTACATATCTATTATCTTTATTTGGTTTTAAAATATACACTGAATAGGTAATGAACATGCTGGGTCATATGACTTCAGCTGACAGGAGGTTCTGGATGGCATTTTTTGTCTGGTTTTGTATGTTAGGTATTATCTCCCATAATTTTTTTCTGTATCTTGATTTTTCTTCTGAAGAATACCTGGTCTGAAAATTGTGAAAAAACTTTTTCTAAATAAAACCTTGTTGTGGTCTACAGTCATTTCTTCATTCCAGTATCATCTTTTCTGACAATTTATGTTGCATTTTTAGCTTTTTCTTCTTCTGGGGGTCGCAGGAGCCAGAGTTAAGGCTGGAAAAACAATAAACAGATATCCAAAGGGTAGATTTTAATTTACTCCTATGTAGAAGCTAGTCTTTGTGTTCAAGCAGTGATAGCAGCATTGCTAAACTCTGATAAGAAAATGTTTATTTTTCAAAACTTCTTTGCACTATTTTGAAAACGATTGGATTTTTTAAAATATCCAACGCTCGCAGAACGGTGCAAGATTCTTCGCTGAAACTGAAAAGTTATCTAGAGCCACAAAGAGATGATTCTCCTTTGGTTAAACTGAAAAAAAAAACCAACACATTAATTTTCTGAAAATAGAGCCATTAGAAGTGCAGTATTTATTCTGATACAACCAAGAACAGAATTATACACCTCTCCATTAAGCTGGTAACTGATAAAAAGCTTCAGATGCAGTGCTTGCCAATAAAATTAGTGAAGGAACTTAGAAGAAGAAATACCTAACAATATGGCCTTCAAGAAATTTAATCTTACGTCTGAATTCTACTTCTTCGTTAAATATTTACCTCTGATCCCAACTTATGCAAGGAAATACAAGAAAATCTCTCTACTGAAAACCAAGAAAAGACTTCAGACGTAATTTCAGTAGTACAAGGCCCTTTAACTGAAAATGTTGTTCAAGAGAAGTGCTCAGCATCTCCCAAAACAGTCCCTTTTTGTTCTAGAAGACAGAATAAAATACTTTTTACATAGATATATGTGTATACATGTACACACACATACATATACACATGCACACTTTATCAGCATGCATAATGAATAAAACAAATGCCACCACAACAGAAATCAATAGTTGTGTAAAAATACTGTAATTATCCTCCCAGCAAAACTCACAGCTATCCCCCACTGAGAGCACTGAAGCAGAAACACCGCAAAATTTGGCTCCAAGAGCACAAGGTAACTACTACAAATTGTCCCCTACACCTACTTGCCCTGCAAAGCTACTTTGATACAATTTCCCTCAAATCAAGGCCATCTCCAGTGTTTGCCTGCCATCAGCACACTAACGTGCCTCCAGCAGTTTCAGGCTTAAACAGATTAATTTCAGTCACACAGCACATTCATTCCACCTAGGGATTTTAATCAAAGAAGAAAGCCAAATACTGAAAAAGACTAAGATTATATTTCACAATATGAAAAGGTCTTGTCTATAACTTAGAAACATGTAAAAAAGGTACATGCAATATTTTTAAACACCCA